CCCTCCTTCCCCCCCCCCCCCCCCCCCCCCCCCCCTTTTTTTTTTGACATGGAGTCTCACGTGTAGCCCTAGCTTCCTTTTGGCTCCAGATCTCTTTCTTAGGCCTCCTCAGTTTCCCAGATGCCCAGTATCCTTCTGCTTAACTGTTTCCCAGTAAAGGTCCTCTGTCACTGTCATTGTGGAGATACGGGTGAAGGGAGCTTCCCCATTCCTGGTACTTCACAGTGACCTGTTGAAGTGGCCCATACACTGATAAATTAGGACTAGAACTTCTGGGCCCCTTTACCTAGCTCTACCCTCTTTCCTTTCCTGGAGACGAAGTCCCATTTGTTCTTCCAAAGACAGGCACCAGGCTGCCAGGCTCCTCGAGGCCTATGGACTTCAATGTCTCCTTAGCTGCTCTTCCAAGGTACCTGTGCTGACATTGTGGGATGACAATGGGAGCACGGGAGCAGAAGGCCCATTTGAACACTTAAGGCACTGGAAACCACTTGGTGCTCAGCAGGTACTCTCTGCCTCTTGCACACATGGAAATGTTGGCTTGCCTTATGTAGGGGCAGTATTTTCATGACACAGACCAGCAGTGAAATACAAAGACTGTTGACTAACAAGACTCTGGTGGTAGCAGGTTTTACATGAAGCCAGCTCTGCTTCTGGTGAGAGGGAATGGGAGACTCACATCTGAGGCCCTAAAGCCAAGCCCTGACCTGAAGCAGTGAGTCTCCTTGATGTTCAATAGTCCCTCCCCCTCTTTCCCTCACTGCTTCATCCTCATAACTTCCTTTATTTAAACAAATCTTTCTCTAGCAAAGCCCAGGGCAGTGGTAGTCAGCTGTCCATTGGGAATGGGAATTCCCAGTGGGACAGTGGGAATTCCCATTCCAGTGGGAATGGGTTCCCAATGGGAACCCTTTGATCTGTAGAAACATACCCAGTGGAGAGGCCCTGTCATTGCCTGTGAGCCACACCTCCAAAGGTGTCTTGTCTCCCATCCTTTAGTCCTCCTCTAAGGAGGAGGTTGTGTCTGAAAGCCATTATGTTCCCCAGAGTATCAAAAACCTGAGCTTCAACATCAGCAAGTCCATTAACCGTTAAAACAATCTCATGTTGGTTTAAACTTTGCAAAGCAAACTGCTGTGAATCAAGACTCCTGAGGGGAAACAGGATGTCAGAGGATGCCATGCAAGTTCATAGAGGAGACAGCCAACAGATTGACTTGCACCACACAAACCAAGATTCTCAGGGAGCTGGCACCCAACGTGTGCATGCAGAAAGAGGCTTGCTCTATCCGGAGCCTTCTATAACGAATATCACAAGGGACCTGGCTCATTTGTGACACTGCTGACTAGAATTGCTAAATATCAAGAGAGAGGATCTGGGACCGGTGAGATGGCTCAGGGGGTAAAAGTATGTGCTGCCTAAACCTGACTACCTGAATTTGATCCCTGGAACCTAGGTAAATGTGGAGGGAGAAACCAGATTCCATAAAGTTGTCTGACCTCCATGTATGCACCATGGTTATACAGGTCATGTAATAATATATGCAACAACACACACAGTAATAATAAAGAAAGTAAAATTTATGTTTTAAAAATGAGTTGGCTGGAGAGATGGCTCAGTGGTCAAGAGCACTTACTCCTCTCGCAGAAGACCATATTTGATTCTCAGCACCCATGTTGGGTAGACCACAACTACCTGTAGCTCCAGTTCCGGGAACTGTACACCCTCTTGTAACCTCTGTGGGTGCTTTCATTGGTGCACATAAACTCACACAGGTATGCATATACATACCCATAAATAATAAATCTGTGTTTGTTTAAAGAGCTGTGAAGCATGGAGCAGCACGGGGCAGCCTTTACTGAGCACTGAAGACTCAGGTTCTATTCCTGGATAGCATTTCAAGATTTGGCAAGAGGGGCTGGAGAGATGGCTCAGTGGTTAAGAGCACTGACTGTTCTTCCAAAGGTCCTGAGTTCAATTCCCAGCAACCACATGGTGGCTCACAACCTTCTGTAATGGGATCTGATGCCCTCTTCTGGTGTGTCTAAAGACAGTAGCAGTGTACTCACATATATAAAATAAATAAATCTTTAAAAAAAAAAAGATTTGGCAAGAAAAATAAGGATGCTAACTTTGAATATCAGCTGAATAACAAGCAACTCCTTAGCGTGAATATGTCCCAAATATTGCATGCAGACACAGATATGCCAAAAGGAAGTCATTATTTCTCAATCGCTTGGGCCTCCTGTATTCTACTTAGCAGCCCGGCATGCAGAAATCATATCTATCTATTTACTTATTTTTACAGATAAGGGATCCTTATGTAGCCCAGGCTGCCCTCAAGCTTGTGGCCATTCTGAGTCACCATTACAGACTTGTCTATTTTGTTTGAAATCCAACTTTCCTTCCCATGTTAGCTTGTGCATCTGCTGGTTGCATTTCACCTCATGGCTGTACCCTCTACCTAGTAGGAACCTGCTGACGACTCCAACCCTCTACCTGCTCCCCAGTACTTGAGGGTTTCGCTTGGACTCAGCATCTTAGAGAATGCTCATAAGACCTCTCAGGCAGGTTGAGATAAAAGTTGTTTGAGTTTGTAAGAAGCAACGAGCCTTTTGATATACTTAGTTCAAACTCATCCACATACTGGATCCAGCCTTCTGGGAAAGGCCTATCCTGACTCAGTGGCTTCTCAGGTCCTTTTATTTCTGCTTCAGAGGAGCCAGGCTATTCTGAGGAAGGAGTAGAGGATAACCGGGGAGAAGGATAAAAGGGCCTAGAAAATAAGGCTTTTCCATAGGACTGGAGCCAGCTCCAGGGTCTCCCCAGCTTCTGCTCCTTTGTGCCCGGGATAGGTGACTCTCACAGATCACCTGTGGCTGACATTCAGTCCTCTAGTAGAGCTGCCTGGATTCCACCAGCAGCCTAGTCCACACGAAGCCCCTCAGCCTCCTACCATCTCTGTTGGTGTCCATCTGGCGGAAGATCTTTTCTGTTCTTTTCTCTGGGGTTGATTCATCTTCAGGCATTTTCATGACAGAGGAAACCATTTTGTAGATTGCCTAGGGACAGAAGTGACAGCATGGTGATATGGAAACACAGTTCATCCCAACAGTAGCTCTATCAAATGCTAGAGTAGGGGGAAGGTAGCTATGTTCTGCTGGAGCTGGGCCTGTCTCTGGGCTTTTGTTTACAGGATAGGATGTGGTAGTGGTAGATGTTAGTTTTGTTACAACATACTGTACATTATGTTTCAACTCTTGTATAAGGTATTGGACCTATATAGAGCATTTGAAAAGTACAAAGCTTAGTTCTAGTTCTTTATAATCTGCTATTACAAACTAGGATAATTGATTCAAGTTAATAGTTATTCAATCAAACTTATGGTCTTTTTAGACATTAGTGTAGTCTTTTTAGACAAAAATAGATTTCTAAAGTTGAACAGATAGTAAATATCTAGAAACAAGCAACATTTGCCTATTCAGATATACCATAGATAGATGGATGGTCTTAAAATCCTCAGAGACTTACAGAATTTGGCACTTAAAGTTTTTTTTTTTAATTAATTTAAGGCTTTTTTGGAGGGAGGACAATGAGATATGTCTGTTCCTGTCAGTACCCCCATTTGACTTCAAAGAAGATGATGAACATCAAAGAATCTCTTTATGGAGTTTGCTTCAAATATGGCAAACTGCCACTAGACAAAAATCTCCCATTGCTTCAACTGAAGACAGAATGCTGTCTAAACTGGACAAATGAGATGCCAGGAAGTCAACTGCTGAGCTTTGGAAAGACAAGATAATCAGTCCTTCATAATTCCTGCTTCGCAAAAAGGTCTGTCAGATATTCCAGGCCAGAAGGCTTAAAATAGATTCTCCAACATTATAGAAAAATTTGCTGGTGGTGGAGGCTGTTCAGGCAGCCAACTTTTCTGTCATTTCTATAGTTTTGGAAGCTGCTTGCCTGCACTTCTTGCATACTTAGGTAATATTTATTCCTTCTCAAGTCTCTGATGGGGTTGAAGACTATATAGCCTCACATATAAGTTTAAGTTGTTTAAGACTTAAATAAATGTTCTAAGGTCTATGTAAGTTATGATAAGAATGATTCAGATACAAAATTCTGAACTTTCCAAGATAGGATAGATAATAGAATACTTTCCACAAAGTTGCCAAACATATCTGGACTTTGTGAATGTAATTTTTACCTGATAGTTTTCATAATTGTTTCATAATTGTTATTATTGTATATAGTTTATTATAATAAGATAAAGAGCCTTTTATTCAACTAAAAGAGGGAATTGTAGAGAAAACCTCCTGTGCACTAAATGGATACAACACCTATCAATAAAATGCTGATTGGTCTATATAAGCTTAGGCAGGAAATAGAAGAAGACAGAATTGTGGGACAGGGCAGAAAGGAAGGAGCTTGAGAACATGGAGGAGGACAGAGACGGGAGCTGAGCAGAGGTAACTAGCCAGGTGGTAGAAAATAGGTTAGAATAAATGGGATATTAAGTTATGATCTATTGGAGAACCAAAGCTTATGGCCAAAGTATTTGTAGATCTATTTTGAGTGTCAGAGTTGTTATTCCAGGAGCCTAGCACTGGGAAGAAAAACTCAGAGTGTATACAGAGCTCTTGCTGAACTCACTCCAGGGTTACTCCACACTCCAGGGTTACTCCACACTCCAGGGTTACTCCACACTCCAGGGTTACTCCACACTCCAGGGTTATTCCACACTCCAGGGTCACTCTACACTGAGTCACTGGAGGAGGACAGTCAAGGCCAGCGCCTTGGCCCTATTAAGGTGATGGCTGTCAGCCACATCCAGCTTTCCTGAAGCATGCTCACCAAAGTATCCCCGCAGTCAAGAATGGAGTTATAATTAGTCCTTCTCTTGGACCCTGTTGACTGTGGTCTCAAACCTCCATCTGTGTCACTACCTATGCTATGGGTTTAGCTGTTGGCCACAGAGATAGTCCTCTTTTTAAAAGTAGGAAAACAGAGGCCCTGAGAGTGGCAAGATTTCCTACTAAGTCCAGACCAATGCAAGATGGAACCAGTGGCAACACACACATGCACGTGCACACACACACTGGACTGAGAACATCTTTATGTTTTATGAATTCATAAGCTCAGGAATGTCAGAAGAGCAATAACAGCACAGTATCTGGACCTGAGCAGTTCACCTCAGGGCAGTCTCTCTCTTTCCAGGTCAAGCATTGGTCTATCTCAGGACTCATAGAGGCATCAATTGAGAACTATTTATAGACAAGTTAGGGATTTCTTTTTGCCAGAAGACTTCAGTAAACTATAATTGTCTTTCTCCATCTCGTTTGGACACGGCTGTTTCTCTGCTGAGTCTGTCTGTCTCTGGAAGGCTCCTTCCTGGCTTGTGTTCGTGACTGGCCCAGGAGCGTCTTGTAACGAGATGTTCTCCTGAGACTTCTGTCAGGCTCCCGCAGTTTGCTCATTGTGCACACACTTGGTTTTCCTGGATCCGTGGCTTCATTCACTCCTTTCTCATCTGAGTGTTCAACTGCCCACTCCACACCCTACTTGTGTACTAAGGATAGATGGAAACGTGACCCTCCCACAGGAAGCTGCTGATGTCCTTCCTCCGTCATCTCAATGTGTGATCTCCCTTCCTGTGCACAAACAAATGGATCCATTGCTACCTCTTCAGGACTACTTCATTCTACTTACCCCACACTATGGTTAGCCAGGACACCCTCCTTCCATGACTGGCAGCCATACCTGGCTATTCATCAGGCTGCTAGCTACTGCAAGGTCTTAGGTAGCATCAGTTTAGAGAATTAGATCCAGAGTGACTGTCCCTGCCCCAGCTGTCCTCTCTCGGATTCCTTCTCCCTGTTTTCTTCTACTCTGCTCCTCTGTACAAAGTTCCATCTTTGCTCTCATAGGTTTTGTCGTCCCCCCCCATAAATGTGTACCTCGACATAAAAATTAACATTCACATAAACCCCTAAAGGTTCTGAATCTGCCAAAGCCTCTCTCCTTTGACATAAGCAAATGTTCTGTGGGAACATATCACTCGCTGCAGACAAATGTAAGGACTTGAGATTTGGAAGCACATCCACAGACACCACCCTCCCCCGTCATCTAAGCCCCTCCTCTCAGATTATTCTTTCCCCAGTTCCCAGCTCACTTGTTCACCAGTCATTTTCTGTGTGAGTTGGATGCACCAGGAACTGTGACTGCCCCTGCCTTTGTCCTGGGGGCCTCACCGTGAGGCAGGCAGACACTGGAGGAATACAGGGGAGGATGAGCCCAGGAGCACTATGGGGGATGCACAAGAGGCTACGGTACAATGAGAAGATGGGCCTTGTAAGGATGGCGAGTTAGGGCAGGCCTCCCCCAGGGCTGACTAGGGAGCAAAGCATGGGGGAAAAGCCCTGGCCTTAAAAAGAAAATTAGTTGACAGGTTCATCCTCACACCTCACCTGCCTTTTAGAAAGGCAGAAAACTTGGGTAACATCACACTGCACCCTGAAAGTGTCCCACCTTCCATGTCCATCGTCTGGATGGATACAGCACCCCAGCGATGCCTTACAGCTGTTATGAAAGCCCTTCCATTCTTCCCAGTGATTCCTTAGAAGCCTATCGATCCTTTAAGAACTCCAGGGCTGGAAGGCTGTGCCTAAATGAAATCCCCCTTCTTGGGACTTTGATGGCAGCCACCAGTGACAATACAGATGTCAATCCATTAACACTTCTGTTTGAGCTGAGGCTTGAAAGATGAAGCAAACACAGGAGCATAATGGGCGAGCAGCCCTTCACCCGGGGTTTTAGGATAAAGGAGTAGAAATGGTTCAGAGAAATAGGGCCAACCTATAAGCAGCTCTGTCTACACACTACCATGCTCACAAGAACAGAACCAAGAAGCCTCCCCAGACTGCACAACCAGCCGCTGCACACTGGGCATACAGAAGTGTGAACTAGGGAAGGTGAGGTTTCCTGTAAGAGGCTTGCCTGCCCAGATGGCTTTGTTATGACAATTAGATTTGTTCTTTGCATCACTTAGCGAATAGGATTAGTGGACTGTTCCCCAAAGCAGGTTTCTGATGTGGTTGGCACTAGAGCAGTGCACATCTGTGACAACTGGTCCAAGTGGTGCCAGTCTCACAAGTCTACCCTTGAGGAATAATGTCATTCTTCCCTTCCCAGTCTAGGCCTCTAGAGCCTAGAAAGACAAGACACGGCCCCAGGCAGTCTCTGGGGCAAACCATGTCTTTTATTAGCAACATTTCTCCAAAACTTAATGGGATTGAACCGTAGAGGAAGCAAGCTACTTCCGTATTGTATTTTTAGCAGTGTCAGGATCTTCCAACAGGGCCTGGCAGAGGTGGCCTGTTTTTAATTAAGCTAGAAGGATCCTGTTCTTGTCCCGGTTAATGTGGAACTTCGGGACACTCAGAAGCCCATCTGGAGTTGTTCCCTGCTAGGCTCAGGGCAGTTCCTCACGGTGGCTAGATGCTGCCTTCTTTGTGGTCTTTCCTCCCCTCCTCTCTTCCTTTCCTCCTCCCTTCCTCCACTCATCCCTCCTTCCTTCCTGGAGGCGCAACCTCTTAGGATGCTCACAGGAAAGAATCGCATCTGATTGACAGGGTCGTGGCCAACCGAGGGCAGGCACAATTTTAAAAGTCAAGTCATTTTCTCTGAAGGAAACTTGAAGTGACCCTTTCCACCAGAAAATTTAGGATCTTCCAACAGAAAATTGGCCATTCAGGGCTCTCTGACAGCAGAATAGGTCAAAGAAGCTGAGTAGTGCTGTCTGTTTGCAGATTATAGATAAGAAACAGCCCTCTGCTTAGAAAGATTTATATACCAGGATAAGAGACAATGAAAAATCTTTTTGGGGGATATTTTTAAATTACAATCAGTGTATACATGTCTGGAATGATATCAATCACCTCTCATGCTCAGTTGGAAAGGTAAAATACATCATGTCCTTCACGGCGTTCTGTTACTGACAAGAGAGCTACACTCACATTCCCCTTTTATTTTATTTTATTATTTAAAAGGTTTTTATTTATGT